GTATATAATATTGATGGTCATCAAATTATTCATCTTTTTGATGTCCCTCATATGCTGAAAAGCATGAGCAATAATTTGATGACCAAAGATATTGTGTTCGAAGGGAAAACGGCTAAGTGGAGTGACATTCATCGGCTGTACGCGTTGGATGGGGATAGTGGCATATTCAAAGCTACCAGGCTTACGTATGTTCACGTAAACCCCACCAATCGGCAAAAGATGAAAGTAAAGCTTGCAGCGCAAGTTTTCAGTAACTCCACTGCTTCCCTCCTCCACATTCTGTCGAAAGCAGCCGTTATGGATGCTGCGGGAACAGCGATATTTGTAAAGTTTATGAACGACCTATTTGACTCGCCGAATTCTGTATCTACCTCTGAAAAACCTTTAGCATGCAAGCTAACTAGCAGCTCACACCATCTTCGATTTTGGGATGCTGCTAGTAGAAAGTTAAGATAAATCAAATTTTTGTCCAGTGGTCAGTGTGTAGGAAATCCTCCAACAATCAAACTACTGTTAGCAACAATTAGTAATGTAAGGTACTTATGGGATTCTCTAAGGGATAAGGGTTTCAAGTATCTCACTTTGAGATCTTTAAATCAAGATCCTTTAGAGAATCTCTTTAGTGTTGCTAGGGGATTATGTGGTGGTAACACAAAGCCTTCACCTTCACAGTTCGTCGATGCTTACAAAACAGTAATTTTAAATAATACTGGTCCTTGTGGCATTGGGACGAATTGTGAAGATGATGGCGAAGACTTCCTTCTTTCTTATAATATTCTTCTTTCCAACTCTACTCCCAGTGATCCTATCAATCCCACTTCTTCATCTTCTTCCTATCAATTTTCTTCAGTTACCACTACGAAATCATCTACCAACACTAATGGCTGGTTTAGGATATCAAACGTAACCGTAACCGTAGCAGTAGACGTAACCGTAACAGTAAGGAACTTAAAGCTTACAGCTGACCCGTTTAGGAAGCAACTTTAAATTTAAGCTTAAGAATTCTTAAGATTTTAAAATTTACCAATAAGAAGTATGTTGATTATTTTAATTTGGTATAGCAAAAAATGGATAATAAATTAATGAAATATGTTGTTAAATAAACAACGTACAATCGAAAATATTTATAATTTATTACCAATTACTAATAGAAAACTGTAATATCAACAACTATAGTTGTTGTAATATATACAAATGTCAGAAAAAGTTCCACTGGTGCTGTGGTATTGTTGTGTATTATCATTGTGTATTATCATCGTGTATTATCATCGTGTATTATTACCTCGCTGTGTATTATCATGGATCGAAAAAGAATTGTTGTAGCTGCAACAACAGCATGTCTAGCTGCAGCTAGTATTGTTATGCGAAAAAAAATTAAAATTCGTCGTCGGTTTTTACGAAGGCCTATCAACCAAAATCGCGAAACGGAAGGTCATTTTGCTACATTAATAGCATATATGCTAAAAAAAGAAAAAGACGAAGCACAATTTTTTAAATATGTCAGAATGTCCTTTAAGGAATTTAAATATTTATTAGAATTGGTAGGACCGTCTTTGACCAAAAAACCAAAGAGAAAAGCTTTGTCTCCGGCTCACCGTCTGATAATTACTTTGCAGTAAGTATGCGTTATTGAAATGTGTGCTCCTAACATATTATAATATATTATAATTGTATGTTTCATTTATTTATTTTGTTTGGTTTGTAGTTATCTAGCTGAAGGCTGCTCAATGCAGGAGATGGCATGGAATTATCGTGTAGGAAAAGCTACTGTACATGTTGTAGTTAAGGAGACAACAGCTGCTCTCTGGCATATTTTACAGCCAAAAGTGATGCCAACGCCCGAAAGAGAGGATTTTTACAGAATTGAAACAGCTTTTTCGCAAAGATGGCAACATCCGAATTGCATTGGTGCAATAGACGGAAAACATATTCATATTCAAGCACCAAACAAGTCCGGAAGTGAATTTTATAATTATAAAAATAGTTTTAGCATCATTCTAATGGCAGCAGTAGATGCTGAATACAATTTTATCACAATAGACATTGGTGCATCAGGTAGAAATCATGACAGCACAGTGCTAAGAGAGAGCTGTTTTGGTAAAGCACTTCTTAATGGAACACTCCCCATTCCGCCCCCGAAGAAACTTCCAGGTAGTAACACCATACTCCCACATTTTGTGATAGGGGATGCTGCATTTCCATTGGCGGAAAATATAATGCGCCCATATCCAGGCCGATATTTAGGCATTGAAAAAAATATCTTTAATTATAGGCTCTCTAGAGCAAGAAGAACAGTTGAGAATGCCTTTGGAATTTTATGTCAGAGATGGCGCATATTAAGAGGAACTATAGTTGCTTCAACTGAAATGGTTGAGCAAATTGTTCAAGCTACTGTTGTTCTTCACAATTATCTACGCAAATATAGGAATGGGGGATATTACTGTTCACCTGGTTATGGCGACCAAATTGGTGCAAATGTTGAAATAATCGAAGGACAATGGCGTTCAGAATCATTTCCGCTAGAAGGTGTACAACGATTAGGGAGCAACAATTCTTCAAGAAAATGCATGGAAAATCGAAACTTATTGTGTCAGTATTTCAATAATGAAGGTGCAGTTCCTTGGCAATTGAAGTATGTGTCAAGAACTGGACAATAAATCCTT